TAAAATAAAATAGGTACGATAATACTTATCCTTAACAGGAGTGTTAGAATGATTAAATGAGCTATGTGCCTAAAACATAATAAATACTCAATTAGTGTTAGTGACTATCATTAGCTCTTCCACGTGAGAAGGCAACCCTTCAGGTATTTGAAGACAATTGGTGAGACTCCTTATGGTCTTTTCACCTGTAGATAAAACATGTCTTCTTCTTTCAACCATTTCTCATAGGACACGGTTGTCAGACCCAGTTCTAGACACCAGTCTTTGGATTCACTTTATTTTTGCTAATGTAACATGAGTTATACCCCAGATATTATCAAACAGTACAAAGTACAGTATGACTAATTGTCTTCTATGTGCTGAGCATATTTAGGCCCAACGGCCCTAGGTCATAAGATCAATTTTGTTAAATGAATGAATGACTGCCCAGCATGGTTGGCTATAACAGATGCCTTGACACTTGAAGACTATCTCCAGGTTACCCAAGGGCATCAATCACCCTTTGCTAGACCTGACTCAACAACTACTAGTTGTTCAGCCTGTTATAGATAGATAGGTTACTATTATTTAACCCACATTTTACTATTTTATGCACACGGTGTGTGCTGTGTGGGTCTTGGGACTGTTTTTCCTCAGATTCATCCCTCAAATTTTCTTCTGTTTTTTGGTACAGGAAGACTGACTCCTGCAGTCTGTGTATTCCAGGTGCTTGACAGCCAACAGGAACATGGTGGGAAGATTGGCGGGCGCGAGAGAGGAAAAGTTAAGGTATTTCTCCCCCATGCTCCATGCTATAATGGCCTCTCTGGCAACAGCCACACCTCTTCCCTGGCTCCAGCTGCCACTGGACAGGCCCACTGGGCTGCATTACCCCTGCTTTCCTGTTTCCCTCCTGCCCACTGTGGATAGCAGCTTCTTGCTCTCGCTAATTGCTTATTTTGCCTCCGTTCCCAGGTTGGCTTCTCAGTCTGTTGCAGCAAAAAGAAAAATACGTGTGTGTGTGTGTGTGTGTGTGTGTGTGTGTGTGTGATTTCCTGACTTAAATTTCCACTGGTTTAAACATTTTCTGTTTTCTCTGACTATATGATTCATAAATTACTGGGAACTCTTGCATTTCTGAAATAAAGATAAGCTCTACATAGTATTATCTGCTTTATCATCATAATGACAGTAACTAAGGTTTTTAAAAATGTAGTTTTACATTCCCTTGCCTTACAGAATCCAGGCAGGCTTCTAATAATCACTGAAAAAAATATTTTAGGATTGCTCTCAATTTGTCTGTTAAAAGGCCTAGAGAGGAACATCAGGTTAAATAGGTTATAATTCCCAGAAGCATTCCCTCCCTTAGAAATTCATTGTGTTTTTAACTTCAACTTTCCTTATTTCCTTCTGTTTCCCTAGTGGAGAAAAGACACCAAGAGTGGAGCCCTATCAGTAAGTTATTTTAACAAATGCTTTCCCTGGGCTTGGAGTCTGAACGCACAGTCATCTCTCCACTTACCACATGGCTTCTCTTGGGCTCTTTCCTCCTTATGCCCTTGGTCTTCCCTTCTTAGGGTGAAGAGCATTTCTCTTGCAAGAAAGAATGGAAGCCATGCTGTAAGCCTCAGTTCATTCCAGATGTTGGCTCTCTACCATCCTCAACTTCATGCTTTGCCCGGGCCTGTAGGCTGGTTTGGCCCTTCTATTCTTAGTACTTGCTCTGTGTTTGTGGGGGATTCTTTGCACAGGCTAGTTCTCATCCTCCTATTACTGTCTCTTCCGGACTCTCCAGCCATTCTACCTACTATTTTTTCCACTATGCTTTTGAAATCAGTCAATCAGTTCTATTTTCACTATTTTTAAGATGAACTGTTGCCTAGACATTAAAGAAGGGGAAACACACACACACACACACACACACACACACACACACACACACAAACCACCTCTTTTCAAGGTTTATACCACAGAATAGGCATTTTAAGAAAAACACTCATTCTTCCTCTGGTCCTATTTCATTTAAGCAGATCCTAACTGGGGCCCCAAATCTCCCCTGCTTCCTTGAGAGATCCCTGATCAAGGTAAAATACTCTTAGGTGATGATCCTCAACTTTGTTTTGCCTTGCATGCCTCCTGAAAGAATTGTGATGCAGTGTGTACCCTCTCACATGTTAAGTTGAATCTTAAAGTTTTTCATATTTCTAGGTTGAAAAAATTTTGATGTTGAGCAGTTTAGAAACATTGCTATTTTTAGTAAAACAACTGTTTTACACATGTATCCAATGTCATCTAGATATCAAAGAAGGTGTCTTTCATACACACTACCATCTGTTGAAAAATACAAAAATTCTTCGCTAATGGCCAGAGCTTTGTTTCTTTTTATTCCTTGAACCTCAGTTCTCATTTCACTTTTTCTTCAGGATTTTATCCTAATGCAACATGTTTAAAAGCTCTTTTATTGATTATCCCATGTATGGCTAAACGATGTATTGCTATTGAAATTAAGTTTTTTTTCTTGTGACCATAAGGGTTTATGTTCAAAGCTTTCTTTTGCATTGAAATCTAAACTCCATTATTATTAGCACATGTAAAATCAAAGCATAAAATATGAATATTGATAATTATTAAAGATAAAAGATAAAGGTTTATTGAAAATGTATTTCTTAATGAGATGGATGGGTTTTTTCCCCCCATTTGTTCATGAATCTTAAGATGCATATAATTTATGGTTGAACTGAGACAGGATTCAGCATCAATTCTATTTCTACTTTTCATTTTCCGTAGCTATAAGGGCTAAGGAATTTTTCTCATAAGAATAAGTTGGTGGGTATGGAAGTTATGCATTTTATTCTTTGAAAGCCTTATGATTTATATGGCAAAAATGACTTCATCTTTTATTATCGGCTGCTCATCTGTTAGGGCTTCCTTCAGTTTTGTTGAAAACAGAGAATTTGATACCTCCTCATCTGCAAAAGGATTTGTTAGTTATTATATCTGGATAAGTTATCAATATTTCTAATTATTCTTTTGTTTAGGGTTATGGCGATTTTTACACAATGGGGCAATGCATTGTATTCGTGATGGGTACAGGTAGGCTTGCTATGAAGTGGGAGAAAGCAATAATAAAAGAGGAAGTATTCTAGGGGAACCCCAAGAACCTTGCCTGGAAGGCATGTTCTCAGGCACACTCAATTTGGGGAAGGAGTACTGGGGGAAGATGCAGATTGAGAAACTCGTTTCCTAAAACTGCCTGTGCCTATGTGTTCCTTAGAAAGTCTCTGTGAATCCCACATACCCTAGCTTGGAGACCCTTAACAAGTTAATTAATTAATTAATTAATTAACTAATATTTAAGGAATAAATCTGTTCCACACCCAAACCATCCTTGGTCTCAGTGAGGATGCAGGCAGAGTGCCTTCCTAAGAATGAGGACTAGCCTTTGTCCACAGAGAGAACATGGGGTGACTGCCCCCAAACTTCCCAAAGACACTAGATGCATTACAGCATTCAAATGGAGATCAACAAATGGGGGGGGGTGTGATTTAGAGGTGCATATACCAGAGTTCATTAGGGAATCATAAACTTGTACTGCCTTCTCTCTTCCTGTTAATTGAACTCAGACTAACTTCAGTGTTCTGTGAGTTCCTCCCAATTTAAGCCTGGATGTAGGAAATGCAATAAAGACAGAAGGCAGTTTCATCCAGGCTAAAGACTTTCCTGATGACTTATGGATAGTTGAGTATGAGGGGGTCACGGTCCCTGCAATAATGGAGGGCGTTTGAATTAAATCTCTGGGCACTCACCATATCACATGCTAGGTGCCATGCTTAGTTCTTTATGTCCATTATCTTTTAATTTTTACAATAATCCTATGTGGTAGATGCTACTGTTGTTATCCTTTTACAAATAAGAAAAATGCAAGATTATGAAATGTGAAATAACCTGCCCTAAATCACAGGTGAAAACGACATTCACCCTCATGTTTAATCCTTTTAGTTTGTCCTTCTTTGTACCAGATTATAAGATCATACCATTGCTGCCAAGGACACGGACTAGTGTTTAGGGACCAGAATCCACAGACACTTGCGAAGACAAAACAGAGGTCTAGTGGGAGAGCTGGAGGAAAGAGAGAACAATTGGCAATAGATGAACTCAGAACAGTCAGTGAAGGCTGAAAAACTACAAGCCAACGAACAGAGCCAAATCTATGCTTCTATAGTTGTAGGTCTTTCCCAAAATGACCTTTCCTAGAACAAACAAGAACTTGAAGATTCTTTTCAGATTTAGGTTCTTGGCTCATATTGTGATGGAGAGAGCCATGAACCCAGAGGGATGGGGACCTCACATGGCTCCCTCAGGTCACCTGCTTCACTTCTGTGAATTTCTGCTTCATCTGCAATTAATGAGTAGTGCTTTCCAAACTTTTTAGACTGAACCAGAGTGAGAAAAATATTTTATACCATGAGCCACCATACTCACACCTTCTGAAACAAGAGTTTCACAAAACAACACAGCCCTACTGTGCGATACCGTCTGATGTATTCTATTCTATTCATTTTGTTCATACATTCATTTTATTGGGGGTGGGGGGATCCACCTGGTTACTACTCACTAAACTGATATTTTAATCTATAAGTGGATGGCAAACCATGGTTTATATAATCCTGGACTAGAGGAATAAGCTGTTCTCAAAGAGTAGCTTAATAATCAAAAGTAGTGTTATTTCTAAAAAAAAAAAAAAAAAAAGCTGAATTAGGCACAGCCAATCTTTGGCACCCTCCTACCTTTCAAGGATTCGTGTCCTGGCTTCCTCTAGCCCCATTTATTCCTGCAACCCCTGCCCCTATTTACCTTTATCTTTATACTCGTATGCCAAAAATTAGTTTTGAACAGGTGCTTTTCTTTTCTTTGAGATAGCTCTATCCTCTGATGACCATCCTCCCAGCTTTAGCTTGAGCTCGCGTTAGGTGCTTGTTGGAGAGAGGCGTCCATGGATTCCAGTTCCTGAAACTACTCACCTTTGACTTTTAGAGTCAGGTACTTGTAGTCCCAGGCGCTCGAATAGATGACCACGCAGCGGTACTTCCCTGCATCGCTCACTCGGACTCGGGGGAAGTGGAATAAGGCCTTCCCCTGGGTCAGCTGCTCCTTCAGCAGAGTGGCAACATGTGACGATGTGTTGTGTTCCACCTTCTGCAAATTGGCTTCTACATTTTCAGCTTCCAGATAATATCCAGAGTAAAAATCACACTCCAGGGTCACATTGCTGCCGTGTTCTACTGTGTACAGTTCTTTAGGGACCGTCACTCTGAATAAAGCTAAACAGAAAACAAGACGTTCTCCCATTGTCTGCCTTCACATTTCAGTTCCGTACAGAGTGGGAGAGGAGAAGACTCGGGCCACCCCCCTCGTCGAGGAAATACCTGTCATTATCTGGGCACTGCTCGGGCCCTTTCCTCTCCTTTCCCCAGCCAGTCTGGGCAAGAGCGGAACTCTCAACCCACCGCTCTGAGGCGGTTCTCTCCTCCCCACCTGTATAGCTGATGGCCCTCCTACCACCTAGTATCCAGGCTCATGTTTTTCAGGTGAATCGAATTACATCATTCCCTGGAAAACATTACCCACCTTTCACCAATGATAGTAATAACAACGACCACATGTTGAGTTACTATATGTTAGCTGTCTGCTAACACGCAGTCTCAGTTAGCTTCCCAGGAAACCAGCGAGTTAGAACCCCTCTTCTCAGTTTCAGAAAAGGAAACTGAGACACAGAAGGGTTAGGCAATTTGCCTAAAATTGCACAGCTAAGATCAGACCCAGGTATTCCTAAATCCCAATCGCTCTTAACCACCATCACACAAGCCCACCAGAGAAGCTTATTTTCTATCAACAAGGAGAAAGAATGGAACTAACATGAAGTTATATTAAGGCACTATGCTAAGCTCTTTATAACTATACCATTTAATCCTGAAAATACAAGCATGAAATACGTATTTATAGTTGAGGAAACTGGCTCATGAGGTGTGCTCCAGGACACAGTTAGTCAAGCTAAAAGTCAGAGGTGTTTGACTTCTCAATCTGTAGTTTCCAATGAAGCAGTATTTCCCAAAGTGTGAGCACACACCACCAGAAGATTGCAAAATGATTTTAGATGGGGCAGAATTGGGGCCTGAAAGGAGCTGGATTATTCAGAGAGGATTTTGTTTCCTCTTCAATTTTATTTCAATCCTTCAAATTACATATAACTTGCAACCAGAGTCCCATATCTCTAACAATGGATATTTTTCTTTTTAATAAAACAGGAGCCCTGGCCGGTTTGGCTCAGCGGTTAGAGTGTCAGCCTGCAGACCAGATAGTCATGGGTTCGGTTACCAGCAGTGGTTCTCAACCTTCCTAATGCTGCGATCCTTTAATACAGTTCCTCATGTTGTACATGGGTGTATCTGCATGTGGGCGGACCGGCCTGGAGTCGAATAGAGGAGCGGTGTCTCAGTTCCTAAAACCATCGGAAATATGTGTTTTCCAATGGTCTTAGGCGACCCCTGTGAAAGGGTTGTTCGACCCCCCAAAGGGGTCGCGAACCACAGGTTGAGAACCACTAGGTGCACGTACCTCAGTTGCAGTTTGTCCCTGGCCCTGATTGGGGTTGTGTGGGTGGCAGCCACTCAATGTGTCTCTCTCACATTGATGTTTCTTTCTCTCTTCCTCCCTCTCTCCTTCCCACTCTATCTAAAGATAAATGCAAAAGTGTCCTTGGGTGGGGATGAAAACAAAAAAACAGGAAGCTCCCAGACAGATAGCAGTATCTGGTAGATTGGAACAACCCCACCTTATTTTCACTGCACTTATATTTGCTCTAATCCTCTGTTTACTAGCACCAGTGATGCTGGTTTTCCACTTGCCATTTTGTTCAAAAAATAAAAGTTGGGTTGATTTAAAGAATTTTACAAGAACAGTAACATAAAGCGTAGTCAAACATGGTAAAATAATGAGAGCAGTGCATGCACAGATAAAGTGTGAGAAACTACAAAATCCTCCTGCTTCCATCATGAATGAATGGATATTCATTAGGACTGCGGTGGAGCAAGGTCCCGAAGTAGCTTCTGAATCATGACCGAAGATTAGATCGTTACGTTCAGTAGAGCTTGCTTCATTCATTCCTTAATTTAATCAGTCAAACCAAACTCACAATAAATACTGGGGGAGGCTTCTGAGCATATGCTATTTGAGGAGTTGTTTCCATATAAAAAGTCGTTGGATTAGGGCATTTGATTTAGTAACAGACAAATCTGGGTTCAAATTCCAACTGTATTGAGATTATGAGCTCCTTGATCTTGATCATGTCATTTAACCTGTGTGAGTCTCAGCTTATTTATCTGTAAAGGTACAAGGTTAATATCTACCTCCCAGTATTGTAAAAACTAAGAGAAATGGCACATGTGAAGTACCTTATAGTAGGTGGTCAGCAAACATTGGTCCTGTTCTTGGGAAAGTGACAATCCATATATGGAATGCTTGGCCGTTTTTTATTAACCACAATATTTTATTAACCAGGAAAGCTCATTCCCTGACCATCCTAGGCAACAGATTTCACAGTGTAAGTCATTTTGGTTTTTTTTATAAGTTGCTTAAATGATTCACACTGCAATTCTCTGTTTACTCATGATTTTCTTCCTACTATCTTGCAAGTCCTTGAAGGCAATAGCCAGGTTGAGTTTGTTTTGATATCTCCAGCGCCTAGCACATACTAAATTCCAATTAAAGTTCGGCAAATAAAAGACAGAAAGAGGGAGAAGGAGAAAGACTGAACCTAACCATATTCACTTCTGTTTTCCTCTCATGAAAATGCAACTTGCATAAGATCACACAAATTGACATTCTTTTTTTTCCCGTTAATCCTCATCTGAGAAAATTTTTTCCATTGATTTTCAGAGAAAGTAGAAAGAAAGGAGGGGAAGAGAGAGAGAGAAACATCAACGTGAGAGACACATCACTTGGTTGCCTCCCAAATGACCCTGACCTGGCCAAGGATCAAACCTGCAACCCAGGTAAGTGCCCTTGACCGGAATCAGACTCTGAGACCCGTTGGTTCTGGAGCCAACGCTCTAACTGCTGAGCCAAACCAGCCAGGGTGCAAATCGTCATTCTTAATGATCACACAGCATATTGGATTGTAAGCGCTGCACACAAACTTGAGATTTATGAAAAATGACTGACAAATTTACATCTTACCTCTAACCCCTGTCTCAATCATGACTAGAACATTCATGTGCCTTTGTAACAGAGACCTATTACAGAAACTTACATCCGCCCAGCACTCCTTTGTGCAGGGTGGGGTGGGGGCAGAGCCGTATATCACGAGTGCTTCTGTGAAAAACAATGCTAATCACACCTGCACTTGCTTTGCCAGGTTGAGAACACTCTGGGACGATGTATGTGAACATAGATGTTGTGCTTCCAAATTTCTTACGTGGTTCTGTTTTCTGGGTTCCACTGAACACTTGTTACAATTCTTACCTGGTTCTCCCAAATAGAACCCTCTTTTTTAAAAAATTATTTTTATTAATTTGTTTTTGTTATAGATGTTTCCCCCATTGACACCCTCCTCCCCATCCCCCCCACCCCATCCCCAGTTTTGTTGTCTATGTCCACTGGTTATGCATACATGCATATAAGTTCTGTGGTTTATCTCTTTCCCCCCAACACCCCCTCTTCTGAGGTTTGTCAGTCTGTGCCCTACCTCTATGTTTCTGGGTCAACTTTGTTCATCAGTTTGTTTAGTTCGTTATATTCCACAAATAAGTTATATCATGTGATATTTGTCTTTCTCTGCTTGGCTTGTTTCACTTAGCATAATACTATCCAGGTCACTCCATGTCATCTCTACTGTGTATATGTACCACTGCTTTTTTATCCACTCATCTACTGATGGACACTTGGACTGTTTCCAGATCTTAGCTATTGTAAATAGTGCTGCTATGAACATAGGGATACATATATTCTTTCTGATTAGTGTTTCAGGCTTCTTAGGGTGTATTACTAGAAGTGGGATCATTGGGTTAAATGGCAGTTTAATTTTTAACTTTTTGAGGTAACACCATAGTGTTTTCCGTAGTAGCTACACCAGTCTGCATTCCCACCAGCAGTGTACTAGAGTCCTCTTTTCTCCACACCCTCGCCAGTACTTGTTTGATGATTTGTTGATGGCAGCTATTCTGACAGGTGTGAAGTGATACCTCAGAGCTGTTTTAATTTGCATCTTTCTGATAATTAGTGGCTTTGAGCATTTTTTATATATATCTCTTGGCCATTTGTATGTCCTATTTGGTGGGGTGTCTATTTAGGTCCTCTGCCCATTTTTTAACTGGGTTCTTTGTCTTCCTTCTGTTGAGTTGTATGAGTACTCTATATATTATGGAAATTAATTCCTTATCTGATGCATCATTGGCAGTTATGGTCTCCCATATAGTGGGTTCCCTTTACATTTTGATGATTGTTTCTTTTCATGTTCAGAAGCTTCTTCGTTTGATGTAGTCCCATGTGTTTATTTTTTCCTTTGACTCTCTTGCCTTAGGTGTTCTACCAGTGAAAATTCTACCATGTGTGTGATGTCTGAAATTTTGTTGCCTACATTTTCTTCTAGAATCTTTATGGATTCATGAGTTACATTTAAGTCTTTTATCCATTTTGAGTTTATTCTTGTGCATGGTATAAGTTGGTGGTTTAGCTTCATTTTTTTGCAAGTAGCTGTCCAATTTTCCCAACATCATTTATTGAAGAGACTGTCTTGACTTCACTGTATGCTCTTGTCACCTTTGTCAAATATTTTTTTTTTTTTTTTAATCCTCACCAGAGGATATTTTTCCATTTTTTGTACAGATAGAGTGGGAGGGAGAGAGAGGAAGGGAGAGAGAGAGAGAAACATCGACGTGAAGGGACACATCGAGTGGCTGCCACCCGCACGACCAACCAGGGCCGGGGACAAACTGCAACCGAAGTACGTGCCCTTAGCGGGAACCGAACCCGGGTCTCTCCGGACCGCAGGCCGATGCTCTAACCGCTGAGCCAAACTGGCCAGGGCAGCCTTTGTCAAATATTAATTGAACATATTGTCTTGGGTCCATTTCTGGGGTCTCTGTTCTGTTTCATTGATCTATCTGCCTGTTCTTGTGCCAATACCAGGCTGTTTTGATTACAGTGGCTTTGTAGTATAACCTGAAATCTGGTAATGTGATTTCCTCCTACTTTGTTCTTTTTTTTCAAGATTGCTGTTCGAGGTCCTTTTTGGTTCCATATAAACTTTTGTAGTGTTTGTCCT